AAACTGCCAGCCCGCCTGGAGGAAGGGGCTGGGGGGGTTTGTAGGGAAATACAGGAGCTAGCTGATTGTGACAGGAGTTGTGTACTTGCTGTCAGCCTCCTTTGTCATGTTTTAGGCTGGTACTGGGTTCCTGGAATAAAAGACTACGAAGGGAGGAGGGCAGGTTTGCGGAGGAGAGGAAAAGTTACTTTAAAGTTGAGTTTTGCTGAAGCGTTAGCGCCGCCATTTTGATGTTTGTTCAGCTTTAGGTTTTTAAGCGGTTTCACACATAGTTATAGTTTGTTCATTCCTGTTGTGGCATTATAGTGTATGGATTTATACAAAGTTTCTCTATTGTACTATTTATTGATGGGCATTTGCGCTATGCATCCATCATGTGGGCTCGTATGAATGGTGCTCTTATGAACATTCTTACATGGTGTCTGGGTGAATACTTGCCTGTGTTTCTGCTCCTCTGGGCCTTGAAATGGAATTGTTAGCATATGCGCAATAGGGGTGGTTGCTGCCCAGCAGTCTCCCGAAGTGGATGCACCTATTTACGCTACCAGAAACAAGTTCCAGTTGCTCGACATCCCCTCAACACTTGATATTATTTGCCTTTATTTTATCCATTCTGGTCGGTGTGTTGGTATCCCGTTATGGTTTGATTTTCATTCCCCTGATATTTAGGGCAGCTGAGCAATTTGAGCATTATTTTATATGTTTATTGGTCATGTGGTGCAGGGCCTGTTCAAGTCTTTTGCCTATTTTACTACTGGCTTATCTGTTATTGACTTATAGAAGTTCTTTATACATGTAGGATTGGAGTCCTCTGTCAGATATTTATATTACATAGATCTTCTTCCACTCTGTGGACTTGTTTTTCCATTTTCTTACGGGGCTTTTTTGAGGGTCTCAGATTCACTTGTGAGGGTGAGCTAGTGTGAATTCTAATGGAGAGAATGATTCAGGCAAGTCAGATGACGACCAAAGATAAGATGCACTGTGTGACGTTGGGAGTCACCAGATCTCTCTGAACACTATTGGGCCTGGCTTTCCTCAACTGTAAATGAGGTTCACTTTGCTCATTCCTCTGGCTCTTCAATTCTGAAATCTCATTCCTCTGTGGCCTGGGAACGTTGACCTGAGATGGTGCATTCTACCAGGTGAGGAGCAGGGGTGGTCAGGAGGGCGGTAGTGGGCTGTGACGAGAGGCAAGAGTGAATTTAAAAGGCAAGCTTTGGGGTGAGACAGAGCAGACTGACCTTGAGCAAACCATGTGGCCTTTCAGAGCCATTTCCCGGTGAGGGTCACAAGCTTCCCTCCTCGTTTTTGAGTTCATTCCATTCATTTACAGACATTTATTATGTACATCAGGCACTGCTGGAGTGACCATGGTTGGGGACTCCTGGCCCAAGAAGATCTCTGATACATAAAAACTATTTAGTAGTCATAGTATTATTTGTAGCTTAAGATACTAAGAGAATCCATTTAAGAATATTTCGAAGAAAATGTTTCTAGAATGAGGGTACCCTATAATAATTATTTCCAAAGTAGGTGTATTACTTAGCTAGAGCTGCTGGAACAAATACCATACACCGTGTGGCTTAAACCACAGAAATTCATTTCCTCATAATTCTGGAGTCTAGAAATTCAAGATCAAGGTGTTGGCAGGATTTTTTTTTCCCCCCTGGAAGGCTCTGTCCTTGGCCTGTGGAGATGATTGTCTCTGTGTATTCTTCACAAGATCTCTCTGTGCCTGTCTGGGTCCTAATCTCTTCCTCTTATAAGGATGCAGTTCTACTGGATTAGGGCCCACCCATATGACCTCATTTTAACTTAACTGTCTATTTAAAGACCCCATCTTCAAATACGCTTTATTTGCAGATTCAGAATGTCACATTCTGAGGTACTGGGGGTTAGGACTTCAAAATATGAATTTGAGGAGGGACACACTTTAGACTGCAACAGCAGGATATAGTAAGAAAATATTAGAACTTCCATTTACATTTATTTTTTAAAAAGCTAGAACTTAAACTTGATTAATACATAATAAATGGATTCATAGTTTAACATCTCACAATGGAAATAAATGTAACTTTGGGATACATGCTCAAAAATTGTTCCTGCTAGAGCGGCAAAATTAAAGAAGTTTGGAGACCACTGGCCTAAGGCCTCGGGCTACTGTGGACAGCAGGGAAGGGTTGCCAAGATGGGTGTTGAGGGGCGCTGGCTGGCTCAGTTGGTGGAGCAGGCAACTCTTGATCTTGGGGTTGTGAGTTCGAGCCCCACATTGGGTATAGAGATGACTTAAAAATAAAGTCTTTAAAAGAAAAAGAGATGGGTGTTGAAATTGAGCAGGTATCAATTAGATCCCATCTGAAACTAAAGCAAGGTGACACAGGGCCAACCTGGGGGTTAGACCAGAGTAGCAGTGGAAGGAGAGAGCGCCGGAGTTGGTGAGCGGCCAGGAGTCAGGCAAAGAGAGTGAACGTGATAAATCACCAAGAGAAACCTTCTGAACACACTGTGTGGCAGGCTGCAGCCCTTTTCTTCCTTAAGTGGCCCTACCTGTAAACTCAAGCTGGTCAAGAGACTTGCTCTGGATGACAAAATGTGAGCAGAGGTGACCCCTGCCTCTTATGAGCAGTGCCTCCTGGCCAGCACACGGGCCACCATTCCCTGTCCCTTCCTCCTCCCTCACTGATTCTGGCATGGAGAAGACATGGGACAGAGCCATAGCAGATGCTTAATGGGCATGTTGTATGAGTGACAAATACAACTTTGTTGTTATCAACCCCCAAGAGTCGAGGGCCATTTGTTTCTGCAGCTAACCCAGCCTATGCTGACTGATCTAGCATACTTTTTCATATACACAGAACTGAGCAACTATTTAATACCTACTAGAGCATAAAAATCGGGGCGCCTAGGTGGCTCAGTTGGCTAAGTGTCTGCCTTCAGCTCAGGTCATGGTCCCAGGGTCCTGCTTCTCCCTCTACCTCTGTCCCTCCCCACACTCATGCTCTCTCTCTCTCTCAAATAAATAAATAAAATCTTAAAAAAAAAAATCAACCAGTCAAGAAGAAAGGCCAGCTGGAGGCCCCTACTGTGCCGTAAGTTATCCTTTAGTTGTTAGATCTTGGGCACTTGGGGTCTCAGGGGTGGGGCGGAGGTAGCCAGGGTCAGGAGGAAGAGGGACCCAAGGGGCTTGGAGCGACTGCCATTTCCAGGTGGTACGGAGGGGTTGCAGTCCTATCTGGTAGCACTTCCCAGCTGACAGCAGATCTAAGTACTGGCATTTCTTAGCTAATCTGGTTCCCATGTAATTTCATAGCAGAGGACTCTCACTTTAGGTATGTGTCAGCCACAGGTTTATTTTCTTTTCCATTACAGCGCTAAATTCCTCAGGTCTGAGTGTTGGGCATTGCCACCTTTGCCATCGAATTATGATTATGATTACGATTATTATTGACTTAGTGTGACTCCATGGTATATCTAAGTAACAAACTCATGGGCACAGGGAAAGGCAGGAAAACTCGAACGTCCACAAGATTGGATTTGGATGGTGAGGGGCTGAAGATCACAGACAACACTGCGAGACCCAATTGTGCCTGGTAATACTCTTTTCTCAGGAGACACGGCTGTGACTAGTAGGCCCACACTTGCTAAATAAAGGCACTGCCAATGCCTATTTTAAAGAGTTTGTATTTAAGGGGCGCCTGGGTGGCTCAGTTGGTTAAGCGACTGCCTTCGGCTCAGGTCATGATCCTGGAGTCCCAGGATCGAGTCCCGCATCGGGCTCCCTGCTCTGCAGGGAGTCTGCTTCTCCCTCTGACCCTCCTCCCTCTCATGCTCTCTCTCATTCTCTCTCTCACAAGTAAATAAAATCTTAAAAAAAAAAAAAAAATTTAAAGAGTTTGTATTTAAGAGATTTTACTTGAAGGAAGAAAGCACACCACATCTGACAACCTACGGCCAACCCCCACCTTGAAAAACAAACCAGAGATTCACTCCACTGACTTACTGCACAGAAACTAAATGTTATTCTAAAATATGTCTGAATACCAGATTTATGAGCAGCTATGAGTCGGTGTGTTTGTACTTCAGTATTTGTGATGGACATTTATTCCTGGCGGATTGAGCATGCTGGAAATGGCAGCTAGTGGACTGCCAACTGCCCTAGTGATTTTAAATTCCTTAGCCCCCCAGAGTGTACATCCATTAGGCAGAATATCCTACCATATCACTGAATTTTTCCAAGCACTACATCACTCAGCCTAGAGAATTCCAGCCATCCTGTTTACAGAAAGTTGTTTCTAAAAATTTGCCATAGAGATCATATCTCAGTAAACTTTGTAGCCTCAGCTCCAGCTCAGAGGCTTACACACAGTGAGTGTTCCATGTACGTGTGTTGAACAAGTGGACAAACAGTTCGGAAGATAAACAGACCAATTTATCCATTTCTGGGGGCAGACTCAATAGGCCATATGCCAAGATCATTTAATGAATGGTCTTTGATAAAGTTGGAGAGCAGTACCCAATGCACAGAAGCTAAAGTCATGTAAAATTTTTTTAAAAATTCACATTTACATGTTTTCTGTTGATTTATGCACATGCTGGTGAGTTTCAGTTACAACACAAAGTCTATGCATTACTAATGTACCAACCCAGCAGCCATTCGTAACTCATTTGAATTAGGAAGTTTCTAAAAGGCTGTGGAGCAATGTCTTTTCTTTCTTTTTTTTTTTTTTAAGATTTTATTTATTTATTTGACAGAGAGAGACACAGCGAGAGAGGGAACACAAGCAGGGGGAGTGGGAGAGGGAGAAGCAGGCTTCCCGCGGAGCAGGGAGGACCCTGGGATCATGACCTGAGCTGAAGGCAGACGCTTAATGACGGAGCCACCCAGGCACCCCGGAAAACAATTTCTAAAAGATGTCCCAAACCTCACAACATTCAAATGCAGATTGGCACTCAGAACCTGTTCACTCTGGCTTTGCATATAATTCTAAGACACTTACCTAGTGGGCTTCCAGGTCCACCGCAGAAGAGCCAGAGAAAACTGGAAGATGGTGAAAAGACCCTTTCGGCTCAGGAGCGTGGTGCCGCTGGGGGCCCAGAACCAGGCAGGCAGAAGGACACCTAAAATGGGATCTCAGGTGAAGCTGGGAATGTCAGGAAGCCAAGACAAAGAAATGTCAGAATTAGAATCACATGTGAGGCACAAGGCTGAACCACTAAACAGGTGAGTTGAAGCCAGATCTAGGACGGGAACAAAACGGAAAAGGAAAATACAGTTCAGAATTGTCGCTTCTCTCACCACTGGGCCCCCTGCTCACCTGCCCTCTGCTTCCCACAAGGAGGCAGGCAATGGCGTCTTTCTCCACTGGCCAGCTCTCTGCAGTTGGGCATGAGGCAGAACCGACAGATTTCCTGTGGGGAAATCATTCATTCATTCAATCAATTTTAATTATACACCCACTTGTGCCAGGCACAACTGAAGGGGTAGGGGACACAGCAGCGAATAAAATGGCTTCTGCCTGCACGGAACTTAGATTCATAGGAGAGAAACAACAAGGGTTTCTCTGATGGATTGAAAAGTGAGCTCTGTAGCTTAATTCTACCACATCTCAAGGGCTTGTGGTCAGCTCTTCCTGGGGGGATGGGAAGTAGATTTTAGCAACTGGGCTTTGGAGAGGTAAGAAGTGACAGTTTGATTTCAAGGACATAGTAAAACCAGAAAAAGCAGACCCAAAGTCAAAGATCTTAGCCTCAGAGGACATGCAAACATATGCCCATAGTCCAGCCCTTCTTGGAAAGTGCTGTACAATTACTAATTTTCAGAATGACCCCTGTATCCAAGTGTCTGTTTAGCTCAGTTTGGTTAAAGCAGCCAGGAAGTGTGCAGCATTTTACAAATTTTCCACCCAGAATGTTTTTTTTGAATGGTCATTAAAGAGAAAAAGAAAAAACTCATTTATAGAGAAAATTTACCTCCCCAAAGGAAGGTTTCCTTCAGAGCTGAAGTTTCCTAATCCTGGATCTCCAGGAAGACTGAGAGCAATTTCTCACGCTGCTCGTCATATTCAGAAATCCCTTTACAATTTGTTACTAGATGTCTGAACCCATTTGAAGGTTCAAATTAATCCACACAGTACAAGCTGGAGGGAAGGGCCGGACAGGAGAACGGCTTCTGTACATTTGTTTTGTTTTAGTTGCTGCGGTCCGGTGAGCTGCCGGGATACTGAGCGGGTTCCCAGGGAAACCACCGCGGGGAGGACCGGAGGAGGGGCGAATCCCAAGTCCCCAGCCCGGCTAGCCGGGCGTGGGAGGGGCCCTAGAGCGGGGCGGGTCCGGGGCGGGTCCGGGGCGGGGGCGGGGCGAGGCGCGAGCACGAGGGGCGGAGCCTGGGTGCGCCTGCGCAGTGCGCGCTACTCAGGGAGCCGGAGGCGGCGGCGACGCGCAGGAAGGAAGATGGAAGACTACCAGGCTGGTGAGGAGGTAACGGCCGGGTCGGCGACGGGAAGGGTGGAGGCCGAGAACGCCTGGCGCGGGTGGGCGGCGGCAGCCAAGGGCGTGTGTGGGCTCCCGGGCCGCGTCCGGACGTGGGCGGCGGCAGTCCCCCGGGCAAACTGACGGTACCGGCGCCCTGTCCCGCCCTTCGCGTGACCCCCGGCCCGGCCTGCTCGGGGCGTCGGCGCCGCGCCCGGGGGGCGGGGCTCGGGGCGGGGCGGGGCTCCCAGCGCCGCGGCGTCGCCCCGTCGTTCTTCCGGGAGGGGCTCCGCAGCCCGGGGACTGCTTCCCGGGGGCAGGGTCTCTCCCGTCCCCGGCGCCCCAGCCCCGCCGCGCCCCTGCCCGCCCCATGCCCCTGGCCCAGCGGCGCCCGGAGTCTGGCTCCGCGCTCACCCGCCACGCCCCCGATCCGCCTCCCCTCCCGCCGCCTGCTGCCCCGCTGGACCCTGCTCCACGCAGGCGGGACCTCCGGGAGGGTGCTATCACTCGCTCCCTTTATTCGGCGGTGCAGACCACCACCCTGGACTAGGTGCTCCGCGCCCACGGGTGGGGAAGACTGAAGGCCGGTGTGCGCCTGCTGACTGATGTAACCCACGACTCCGGAGTGACAGGCACGCGCACATGCAGTCACATCTTTCAGGTCTCGGGCTGTCTGCAAAATGCAGAAGTGCACAGCCGGAGAGGCTCCCTTTGTCTGCAGGTCCACACCTGGTCTTCAGTGGGGGGCTTACCTCCGCCACGGCCACCACCACTTAGGTTTCATTTTCAGTTTGAGTTTGATATGTCAGTGTGGGAACTCCTATTTTTTGGTGGGGGGGGAGGAATAATCTCTCATTGCCTCAGTGAAGAAGCAGGGTAGAGCATACAGTTATTTGCCAAGCAGAAGACATTTATTCTAACGGTGGCTTTCCTTCAATTTAACATGCATTCAGGGACGATAGCTGATGGATGCTGCTATTACAGAAAAATAGTTGTCCACTTTCTTCTTGCTAAGTAATAATTCTTGTTGAAATTGAAATAGAGTCCTACATATTATGCAGCCTGTCAAAAATGAAAACTATGATGAATTTGGTGAGGTTTGATGTTTTATCATTTTTGAAACTTAGTTTGAGCAGGAATGTTTGGAAGGGAAAGAAAAAAATCTAAGGCTTAAGGACTGATGCTAGAGTTTCAGTTTTGATCTGATTTCCTAAGTACTACACAATGGCAGTGCCATCATCAGTGTTTGAATGCCGGAAACAACCAAGTGGATACTTTTGAGAAGACATGGTTCAGGAGCACCTAGCAAAGGAAAAACTTTTCCCTGTAAACTAATACAGGAAAATGGCTTGTATTATAGGAATATCCATAAAACTTTTTATTTTTTTAATTAAAAATTTTTTTTAAGATTTTATTTATTTGACAGAGAGATACACAGCGAGAGAGGGAACACAAGCAGGGGGAGTGGGAGAGGGAGAAGCAGGCTTCCCGCTGAGCAGAAAACCCGACACGGGGCTCGATCCCAGGACCCTGGGATCATGACCTGAGCCAAAGGCAGACGTTTAACGACTGAGCCACCCAGGCGCCCCCCATAAAACCTTTTTAAAAAAGGAAATGACACTGTAAGAGAATTAATACTGGTATTTTAATTCTGGCTCCCAGCAGTGAGGTGGCTAAGGGACTTCATTATTCCAGATCTCACTTGCAGATCTGTGAATTGAAGGGGCTGAACAGAGCATCTGCTTACTGGAGATAAAGCCCTAGGCCCTTAGGAGGGTGAGACCTTGACTTCTTTCTGGTAGGCGTGCCTTAGGTATTTACTAATCCACTCCACTCTCTTCTGAACTAAGCCTTTTCTGCATAGCCTCTTAACTTCATGTAAATACTTGGACCTTTGTAAGACTACTCTCAACTCATTGTTCATATTTCCTGTAGAAGCTGAAAGTGCCCAGGGGATTCTGTACAACTGCTCTACTTTTCCACTAAAAGTCCACTGATTTCAGTGGGTGGGGCCATATGGCTTGTTACACAGGGACTTTTCCGTATGGTTGAGGATCACGGAAGTCCCTTGGAAGGATCCTTTAAACCTCAAGAAATCATTTAATCTCTGAGATACTGCAAATTTTCATTGATGTGGTGAGTTGGTTTTGTCTCCAAGTATACCTTCTTCTAAGTACAGCAAGTGAGAGGGCTTCAGGCAGTCTGCTCTTGATCCTCCTGGAAAGAAGGGCATTGCTTGGACAGGGCCACAGTAGTCAGCCTCTAGCAGGGAGGAAAGCTCACTGCCAAAAGCAGGGCACTCGACTTTATTCCACCAGGATTCACAATGACTGAGGGGCTGGAATGTCCAGAGCTAAGTACTGTTCGCAGGACTCAGACAGAACCTTGTACCCATTCAGATGTACCCTATATAAAAAGAAAACCATCTTTAAACTCCCGCCATTAGATTACTGGTGGCAGCCCACCTTCCAGCTCCTCCTGAGGCACTGGTGGAGAATAGTTGTGCTAAGCAGCCGGTTTTGTAGTCCTGAAGTAGGACAGCATTAAGGAGGAAACAATTCTCGGGAAATAGTATAATCATTGTATATTTTATCACTAATGGTGGATAAAAACAAAAACAGAAACGTCTTAAGTTTCAAACCTCCTAATCAGTTTACATCGGGAAAAGTGTCAGCTAATTTAAACAAAAGTCAAGTAACTCATTAAACTTCTGTGTTTGTTAATGATCCTAGTAGCCAGTTGAAATGGATAGAGAGATTGAATCTAAAGTGAAGTCAGCCTTTTGGACCATGGCATGATTAAAACAAACCAAAACCCTCTAAATTATATACATATTCTAGACTCCTCTGACTGCCTCTCACCGGCTCTGTGATCCTCAGAGCCACTCGGCATTTCTGAGTCTCTGTAGTGTTTTCCTTGGTAAAAGGAAAAGTTTAGTTTGGTTATTTCTAAGTCGTCATTTCTGAATTATGTTCATTACCTAAATTTGCATTAATCAATGCAGTGGAAACCGATCTTTTAAAGCCATCAAACTTAACTAGTTTTCTTGCTTACAGACTGCTTTTGTTGTTGATGAAGTGAGCAACATTGTAAAAGAGGTAAGAGGAAGAATGCTTATTTTTAAAATGTTGATTAATGGCTTTATGAGTCAAAATAATGTGTTTTAAATACTGTCTTGGAATTGTTTCAAATGAACCTGTGTGTTTTGGCATTTCAAATAACAGTTTTCTTCAGTGAATATGTAGATAAGAATTACTCCCATATTATGTAAATTATATATTTTAAACCAGACAGGAAATGTTATATACTAGCATTATTATTGAATATTACTAAGGCTTGATTCTATAACCTTTTAACATAAAAGACTCACGGTCATGGTACACAAGTAAATATTTCTGGTGTTGAATAAAGAGTGAATATAAAAAAAATTGAGTAACTTCCAGTTACTTAAGACCTGATGATCCAGTTGGGGCTTACCTATTTATTTTTCTTATATTCCTAAACTACCTATTTTGCCATTATTGACCATGGTACCTCCCTTGAAGACAAAATAGGGTATTCTTCATTCATTGGAAAAATACATATCAAGGGGGCATTAGGGACTGACCATCAAGGGGTTTACAGTATGGGGCAGGACCAGGCAGGCACTTAAGAAATCATCACACTGGAAAATGTAAATGTGGATTCCCTGTGTGGTAACTGCCACAGTACATGGTGCTATGAGGGATTTGACGCACCTGGTGAGTTCACAGCTAGAATCTGGAGAATGAGTAGGAATAGCGTTAACTCAGCAAAAAGAGGGCGCAAATATTCCGGAAGTGGGTGTATGCAAAGGCCCTGTGGTGGGACTGTGTATGGTGTGTTTGAGGGACTGAAATGAGGCAGATGGCGCTGGAATAGTGCAGAGTGCTGGGGGAACCTGGGGCAGGAATGAGGCCAGAAAGATTTTCTTTAGTCCCTTCTCTTCCTGTGTAAATTGAGCACAGACTGTGAAGCCAGCGGCCAGAGGAAAGCCATTAGGTGATCTAAGTTTAAAGTACCAGCTGAGATTATGTGTGTAATTTGGAATTGACTCTAATGCAAATTATTATCTAATGCCAGAGTGATCAAGAACCACAACCTATTTTTGTGACCAACACCAAAAAGCAAAATGATTTTGTTCTACCATATACATTATTCACCATCACAGATGATTTTCTAGTTGTTGTGCAGGATCTGTAACAGTTTGCTTTTGTTTTTACACAGGGTGTTTCTTATGGAACACGGTGTGTTGAGGGGGCAGGAAGGTGGTGGTACCACAGTCGAACTGTGAGAAGTGGGGACAGGTCCCCTGTGATCTCACTTGTTTTCAGCGTCATCTTTGACTCAAGTTGCCAGGCAACAAGTACAGTTGAAAGTAGACTCTCCCAGTCTCCATGAAAGCATGAAATAGTACTGCTGTGGTACTCTCACGTGGTCACCAGCCTCAGCAGCTTTTTTGCCCCTGGCAATAGGTTAATTCTTCCCTTGCGCTCTTGTAAGGATCAGGTAGTAATAAATTTGGGTGAGTCCAGAATTGGAGGGGAGTTTTCCTCCCTCCCTGAAAAACAGTGCATTCCAAAGTGTATGTGTAGAGAGTTGCCAAAGTTAGAGGTTTAGCTTGACTGATGCCCCCCACTTCTTTCACCAATATCCAGATCTAGTAATAACTGGGTCCTTTTAAACCAGGAATGCCTATGTCCCCACCTCATTTTATGCTCTGAGTTGGGAAGGGAGCAGAACAGGTCAGAGGATGAGAAGGAGCTATGACAATGACAATGGGGGGACGGGGGTGCAGAGGGAAGGCCAGAAGCTAAACGAGGTGTATTTAATGTGACTGCTCAGAGTCCCAGGATAAATAGGTAGAAATCAGGGTGCGATTATAGGTAGCACTCTGTTCCTCAAAAGCAAGGTCACTGGGCTTTTGTCCCAGACAGTAGACCCTAATCCATCTCCAGTGTGCACAACTCAGATCCCAGGACTGTTCTCTGCATGTCTGAGGACAGAACTGAGCCCTCACCAAATTATTTTAGGTCATAACTGTCATCGGAATTCACGTTTCTGGTTTCCAGCTAGAAAAGGGGTAGAGAAGAAAGCTGCTTAGAGGCAGGCACACTGGCATCAACATAAAGAGGCTCCGAAAACCACAGAATGGTAATAGCCTAACCACAAACTTGAGCAAGAGCAGGGGCAAGCAGCCGTACGTATTCCTGAGTAACCTCTGAGCTACACAGCATGAACCCTCACCGGGATGCAGCACAGAAAGAGACTATTTCAAATAGAAAAATTCATCATAACCTTAAAATAAAATAGTACAAAAAATAATTTTTGTAATATATAGGGCTCGTTTTCTATTTGAAAAGTGCACTTACGTGTTAACATATTCCCAGAAAATGCTGAGTAAAGGAAATATTTTTGAACACACGATTATTTGCATAGGTTTGTATGTTGTCGGTTGTACAACCTAGTAAAGATTTTTCTGTCTGCTATACCTTTAAGGAATGGGCAAAGGAAGTATTTTCTAGCCTCAGTAGGAACAAAAATTATCATCTCCAGGTACCAACTGCAACAGTCAACAGTACATTCAGTCAACATGTTTTTAAAATTTGACAGATCCTATGTAAGTGTGGATTTTAGAAAATGAATATAAAACTTACTTAACGAACGAGGACACTGTTCAACAAAGGTGTACCTGCAAGGGAGTGCTCGTGGCTTTTGCTCACGCTTTATGCAGCGTATAGTTCCGCAGGCTGCGGGCGAGGAGCCCCGGTACTGGCTGGAAGGCGCTGCTCGTGGGTCCTGCTAACCGTGACCTCTGCCCCGCGTTCCAGGCTATAGAGAGCGCAATCGGCGGCAATGCCTATCAGCACAGCAAAGTGAATCAGTGGACCACAAATGTCGTAGAACAAACTTTAAGCCAACTCACCAAGCTGGGAAAGCCATTTAAATACATCGGTAATGCACCTTTGCTTCTCGTATATACTGTGGGTGGTTCTTGAAATACTGCCGAGAGGAGTACTTGCTCTGGCGTCCGACCTCGAAGCGCGTGCCCAGTAGGGGCAGCTCGCCGGGTTGTGTGCGTTACCAGCCAGCCGGCCTGTTGGGCGGCTGCAGCAGTTGCAGGGTGCCCATCACTGGGCTTCCCAGCACTTCACACCCGACGCATTTAGAGCAGGCATGGGGGGAGGACAAGGGAAGGCTGTGGCGTGTCACTGTCACGGGGCCAGTCTACCCCGGCAACTGTTCCCATGAACCCTTTCCCCGGGATCTGCCCCGGAATGCTGAAAGTCGGCTGACAGGAAGGTGTGTTGCCGGGTGGGTTTCTCTAATAAACGCCTGTTTTCATTGAAGTGACCTGTGTGATTATGCAGAAGAACGGAGCGGGCTTACACACGGCCAGTTCCTGCTTCTGGGACAGCTCTACTGACGGTATGGTTTTCCCTGTGTTCCCTGAACGCTTGTCATGGGCCTTGCGCTGAAGCCTCTGCGGCACCTCCTCGACCTTGCTGAGATCTAGATTTTTCCAGGCAGAGTTTTCTGAAACATGCTTGGCTGTTTCAGGTCTTTGAATGCATGCATATCAGAGTCACCCGTTGACACATTTTATAGAGCAGGGTCTGAGCGGCCTTCTTTATTCGTGTGCCGTAAAGAAGTCTGAGAAGTCAGGATGGCGAGCCCCCGCGTCCCCGAGTTGAGGGCCATGCCTTCTCCCCACAGGGAGCTGCACCGTGCGGTGGGAGAACAAGACCATGTACTGCATCGTCAGCGCCTTCGGGCTGTCCATCTGAACCTCCTGCGTCTGCGCACTCCTCCTCTCCCAGCGGCCGGCGGGGGTCCAGCGAACACCCTTCTCCTTCTCTTCAAGTGTTTCTCGTGGCACCCACGACGTCGACGACAGCCAGGTGACTGCCCCGTTCTGTGAACGGCACAGCCAAGTCTGAGGACGGTCATCCTGGGTGCTCAGGCCTGTGCTGCCACCCATCTTAACTCTGTTTCTTTTCAAAGGTGCTAAAAACTGAAATCTGCTAGTTTGAAACTTTCTCTACTCTCTGGATGACTCAGATACACTAATTTTCCATACTTTGTACTTTGGTTAGAATAATAAATTATTCCACTTTAAAGTTTGTGTTTTTCTTCATAGTCTAAACAATACCACAAACGAGTTCTTCAGATTTCACTAGTGACTTTAGAATCTATAAAACTGCAAAAACAGAAAGGAAAAGTTAGAATTTGGCGCTGGTTCTCACCACTGCAGGATGTGCTGCTTTGACTGTCGGGCCCAGGACCCTGCGGCTTCCGGGAGCTAGCCAGCTGGTCCCTGCTGCAGCCAGAGCTCTCGGCCGCGCACGCTGCCCGGCCCGCGGCGCGGCGGCTCCTGCCCCAGTGTCCCCGCTTGTCGGCAGCAGCCCTCCAAAAATGTGTTCGTACTGCAGGGCTTCCACCATCGCTTTCATAATCCTTTTGTGTCCACAATTAGGCCCTTATTTATAAATCAGCAACCACGTTGGGAGGTTATCTGATTGATTTAAAGGAGGGGAGGTGAGCCCCAAGCCCCAGTCTGTGACCTCACCTTCAGCGCTCATCCATGGGCCACGTTCACACAGGAATAAAGACACGCTTCTGTGTCCACTTGCTGAAATCAAGAAAGCTCTACTTTTGGCCCTAAAGCACTCATGCCTGAATGGCCAAACGAACTCCACACGCAGGAGCAAATAAATCACGTAAGAATCGAGTATGTAAAATTTATTAACATGTACCAGAAAGGAAGTTTCAGAATGAAGCCCTTTCCAAAGTGTTAAGTTTGCCATAAATAAACATTTATTCACTTTCGATTGATTACAATGATCGTTCTGTGATCAGGGGTTACTGTGCTCATGGACACAAGTTCCAAGATCTACTACATAGTTCTATCTTTCCTTTTGAACTTTAAAGTTTTTATTTTACAAATACAGTCTTTTTGTAAAAAGGCAGTTTTCAGTAGCAGAAAGTTCTGTTTCACTGTGTGGTATTATAGTTACCAGTATATCGAAAACATGTCAAGTCAACATGAACAGGATAACAAGATGTCACAGACTAAAGCGACTTCCCTTGGGCCTGGGGAAAAGATTTGTAGCTTTTTTTCCCAAAAGTCTAACCTCTAAGGCAACTGGTTTCTAAAATCCTCAAAATACATAAATATTCTTTAGTGACTTAACTCGTATGTTAACTAGATGTCCCTTTTCACCATCCCATCTATGAGCTTCCATGGTTTTCCCTGTGAGGAGGATTCCAGGAAATAAGTCACTGACCATACTGCGACCGACTTAACACAACTGTAGCTTCAGTAAATAGTTCATGGAATGCTTGAGGCTGGTGAGAGTTGTCTTGTAACCTGCCCCTTTAGTGGGCTGGGTTTACATAATGTATCTAAACTTTTATTGCAATCTGTAATTATGTACAGGAACAATCTTACAAACCTTGAATATATTTTATATATCCCCTTCTCTAGCCTTTCAAATGGGGCTTAAGAGAGAGAAAACTGCATCACTTCACTGCTGTAATGATTTAATAATAAATCAAGCAGACCTATTACCCACACGGATAATGATGCTCTCCCTAGGGAAGCTGAAATACGTACGGTCATCTTCCAGGTTCCCCTAGACTGGACCAGTGTAAAAAATTATCCCAAAGATGATGTTATTCAAGCCATTACCATGGAAGAACTAAAGTCAGCCCTTTGAATTTACAACTGAAGTTTGCAAAATTGATACTCTCCAAGAAAAAAACAATTTTCTTGCTCCTGTCTAAAGTTTCTGGCAGACTTGGAGTGTGTTAACCTAATACAGCATATACACTACATGCTAAATGCTATATACTTCAAGCAAATTTTTACATGGAGTACATAATACGTTGATATTATGATATACCAGAGACAAGACTGAAAACGCACGATTTAACAAAGAACCATTTTCCCCTTACATACTTCCTTTTATAATTTTTTTGTTTCCAACTTAATTATAAAAAGTAAATAAAGACTCACATATTTTCATTTCAGTGACTTGATGCCATGAAGAATCAAGTATGAAGATATCCATCATCAGTTTATAATATAATTACACTATAGGACAAAGACAAGTTTTAAAAATAAGTTCTAATGTGTATGGCTAAATGCTTCAAATAGTTTACATTTACTGATAAATAACAGCATTCCAAATTATGGACATTTAATAATGATTAAAACTTGTAAATTGTATCACATATTAGAATACATTAATCAGCACAAGTTTTCGTCATTTACATAAAATTATAGTTAGTAGAAGTTGAAAAATTTGGTTAACAGAAAAATTTTTCCAATACCTTGGAGTACACAGAATCAAAAAAAGTAATCACACCATGGAAAATGTAAAAACCACGTAAACTTGAATTACCCTTGCAATAATACAGTTGTTTTAATTCAAACTTTCATAATTACAAGGTTTTAAAAACAAATGGAATCCATATTAAAGGTACGTTATCACTAAAGTTTAAACAGATGTTAAGTCATGAGAAGTCTCTCATGAACCTCTATAAGGGCCCAGCCTTACCTCAAGTGGAATACAATTTTTAGCGATTTGAGAGTTAATGCATAGATGAAGAAAACGCAGGTACTGCTTGCAGAGCGGAACAATCCTATCCTACACACTGCATCTGCCCAGACGCCATCCGTTAGGATGTTAGCTGTGACGGTACGTTAACGGTTCAAGAAAGACGTCATTGTCAGAGGAAAAGGACAGGAGATACCAGACTTGTACACTTAGTCTTTGACATAAAGGAACTGGCAACTCTCCAGGGCCTTCTATGATGCCACAGATTCAGCAGCTCGAGACAACTTTCGTCTTCCAGAGCAGGGCCTCCTCTTCCCTGGCCACTGGAGGGCGGGGCCTGCTTCCCAGCAAGTGACCTTCTACCCAAAGATGTGCTTCCACAAATCATCGAAAATGTTTCACTTTCTATCATCTAGGCTTCAAATGTGAAACTGAAAAACTTTTTCACAATAAAGAATCTCTAATATATCCTTTGTTTAGCTTTTATAAAAAAATAATAAAGTTCCACGGGGTGTTATCTCTAAAGGAGCTGTAGAAATGACAGCTTGTAGGAACTGTAGCGGATACCCTCTTTCCCATCCCAACCACAGCGACGTCCGCTCACACGCACACTCGTGTGTACACAGCTCTTGGAAAACCATGGCAGCAGGACCTCTCCCCGAGCTGGCGCTTGTCGGTTATCTTACCCTTTCCTTATGAATCTCAGCCAGTCCTCCTCAGACCCTCACGACACGAGTTCTGCCCTGTGGCAGTGAAGGGCTAGAACCTGCTCGCCCACCATTTCCCTAATAAGCTATTACTTAGGCATTTCACACAACAGACAGGAGTTACTAGTCACCTGGGATGCTTGGTTACCCAGAGCACTCAAGGGGGAAGGAATGTCCTTGGGAGACAGACACAACAATAGGCTTCCCTTTGAGTTTAAAGGGCTGAAACTGGTACAGGGCAGGGAAGAAAGGAAGAAAGAGGAGAACGCCACCATGCTGACGATCTCATTCATAAGGGCTTTCCATGGACTCAGAAAGAGCAGATTATTAAAAAAAAATAATAATAATAACTCTACTAAAAAGAGGAGTAATTACCTCCTCACCACTAAAAATGAACTCTCTCATCCGAAATCCGGAAAAGGGATTTGGCTGTTTACACTTATCAGCGCCACTCTTCCCAAATGCAGCCACTCTAACACTAAATTTGGCCCAATGTTTAAATTTCTTCTTGGTTTTGGTTTTCCTTTAAAAAATACGTAAACAAATAAGGACCAGGAAATCTGGGCTTATGAGACAAGCCTGAACACCAGCAGGAGCGGGGAAGGCCAGGAAGCGGCGCTGCGGGAAAGCGTCGGCCCGGCCCGCCGGCGGCCGGGGGCTCAGTCGCTCTCGGAGCCCTCCTTGTACTGTGCCCGGATGGCCTGGCCGTTCTGCAGGGGCATTTCTTCATAGTCACTCCTGTCACAAAAGAGACCCTTGATGCCATTCGGCTTTTGACAGCTCATCTTCTGTTCTTCTCTTCCACACTGACATGCCATTTCAGCAAGAAGGCATTTCACGGCTCCGCGCTCCCCGTTTCTACCGCCTGCTGCTCCTGCCCACTCCTCACCCCCCACCGAGCACCAGGGCCCGTTGCCAGGGAGAACTGCTCCTCCTGTGGGCACCACCCATGCCAAGTGTTCAAAAAAAGGAACACCGCTCAATCTAGTCAGAACAACGTGAAAACAGAACCCCATGGGATCATGGGACACCCCCAGGTGAAAGAAATGTCATAATGCCTTGCAAATCATTTTAGAATGATTAACAGCCTGTTCAGTAAATGCACAAAACCAGGCGCAATGCTCACCATAGAAGGCTTCAGAGAGGCAGGGACTTACCCATAGATCACATCATCGTCAGAGTCATTCAGCATGGAGAATGCAGGGTTGTCTTTCAGCTGGGACTCTGGAGGCCAACAAAAGCATTATGTGATTAGCCCGGGGAGGCAAGATGCTACCGGGAAAGGACAGGAGTCCGAAAGAGCGGGATTCAGATCCCCGCTTCCACCATTTATTATCTGTGTGACCTGAATGAATCTCGCTCCCGAGCCTGTTTCTCGCGTTCGAGCCAGGGGCAGCATCACTACTTGGCAGGCTGCTGGGCAGACCGCGCGGTGGAAGCACCCGGAGCAGAGAGGCTCCAGGGGGAACCCTCCAACGGCAGCTGTGACCCGGCTATGTTCTCCCAAGTCCACGTGGGTAGCGGGGGCGGAAAACACCCGGGAGACCAGAGGCGCCCGCCCTGCTCCCTCCCACCCCGGGGAGGAAGCAAGCCACCCAGCCTCGTTTCTTCATCTCAGGAGGGACTAACTGCATCTTCATCACAGAGCTGCTGTGAGGCTCGAGTGGGACCTCTTCACGAAGGTGCTTGGAGAACTCACACAACACGGAAGTCAGGCGGTGGGCCTGAAATGCTACACCCCTGCCCAAGTGCCAGGAAGTCAGGAAGTTCCCGTCCTTTTCAGCCTGTGTGACAGTCTGGCTCTTCTTACATTCTGGCTTTCTCTGGATGGCCATGGCACGAGCGTGCAAC